CTCTCTCTCTCTCTAAGAAATTTCAGCTATATATACTGATATAGAGAGAGGAGGTTAGAGATATATATACATATAGAGACTGAGAGTTCTTTAGACATAGCAATGGAGGTCTTGAAGAAATGGGTGTCTCTCTGTTCTTTGCTGCTTTTGCTGCTATTCGTTGGCGTTGTCGCTGCTGTGAACAAAGATGAAGCCTCGAAATGGAGGTTTGTTCCTGTTATTATAATGCATTATCTGAATTCTTCTCTAATTTGTGAGATTTTTCTTTTGAAGTAAAGCTTAACTATGAAAATTTCAGGAAAAAATTGTAGTTCCTGTTTATCCTAAATGTGTAATTCACCTACATTTGGCTGTTTTACTTGAATTCCAAAAGGAATTCGTAATTCTTTTCTCCATTTCTTGTGCTTTCCTTTTCATAATTTCAGAAGAGTCTTTTTATTTACAGTGATAATTTACGTTTATTTTTCAGTGTGGTGGAAAAAGAGAAAATGCAGAGCTCTAACAACTCAACAATGGCGGCAAGGTGTGTAACTCAGCATTATAACTCAGTTAATTTTCACATTTTTACAACTGAGTCGACTCGGTAATGCCTAATCTTTGCCGTAAACGTTATCGGAGTATCACATTTCTCTTTCAACGTTTACATTTCCCTCTTTAGTGCAAATCAAATTTTCACCGTCGGATCTCTTTTGAGTTCCACCCACTCCTCTGTTTCTAACCTTAAAGAATCAATACCAACCGTCAGATCCATTACTCCCATCGGATCTCATCCGTTTATTCAGTTAATGCGCAGATTCCTCTGTAAACAAACAATTTTCATTGGCTCTTTCCATTTTCCATATTTACCCTTGCTAAATGTGGTTTATTCCTCGCTGAACCGTATCATCAAAAGGAGTAATATGGGTATTGTGGTAATCACACTATGCATTTCGACGCACCCCCAAAAAGCAGTTATCTGTCCCTCTCTCTCTCTCTCTCGCGTCTAAGAAAAGAACTTTTGACGGTTTTAACGGCACTGCGCCACTACCTTGAGCAGTGTACAGAACGGTTTGTGCGTGTTTTTTCCTTACGTGAAATTCATATTACTGAAGAAATAAGGTTTATATGTCTTCGGTAGCCGACACCCCATGTGAAATTTCTTTTACCTCAAATGGGCTTTCGCTTTTTACTGCAAATGAGTTCCCTGCAGAATGAGCTAAAGTTGTTTTCGTCTGGCCTAAATGGTGAATTTTTAGTTAAAAATCTTGGATCAATGTCTACTAACAAGTTCTTGAAAATGACATATATATATAACACAGAGAGAGTGGGTATAACAAATATTGATGTGTGACGTAATGTGATTTGGCTCAGGTTGGGAGAAATTAAAGAGGAGGCTTTGAATGAACATG